AGAAGTAAACTATGGTTATGGAAGAAGCTTAAGCCTGTGTAAAAGCCCGAGTAACCAAGGGCTTTCTTTCAACATGAAGGAGCAGACGGCAAGCTAGTTTGTGGATAGTCCTTTGAGTGTTGTTAACTTTTGTCATCCCTTTGATTACTCGTCTTTTCATTAAGTAGTAGAGGAAAATGCTCAGAAAATATACCCGGTGCCCATTCCAATTCTGGAGAAGCGGAAAGCTTCTCAAGAGGAGAATATAAAAGCCATACTCCATTACTAGAAATGGAGATGAGGGGTATTCACCAAAGGACAAATTTAAATGAATATGCAGTTTGTGCTGCGGATAGAAGAAAAAGAACTCCGCTTCTTCCCAAGCAGGAGCAACACGAGTCTAAGTCCCCTACAGCCTCCTGAGATCATCAGCCTTACTCCAGAAGTACTGAATGAGACACACAAACGTTTTACAAGGGGCTCAGGATCATTTTTCTTCCAGCAGATCATTGATCAGAGGTACTTCAGAAGATGCAGCTTCATTTTGCTATAATCTTATTCACACGGACCAGTATATCTTGAGAAATGACTATTAGACTAGTTGAACCAAGCATGTCCATTTCTGACCCTAAAGGCATTTCAGAAGGAGTATTTACAGTGAGGTTGTTCCAACTATAAGAATAGTGTATTTATTTCCACTAAAACTGCTTCCTAGGAATACGGAAGAACCAACTAGCTGCATCGTAAAATCTGAGCTGAGGTGTTGTAGTAAAACCTGCGGTCACACTCCTGAGAAGGGTAAGAGCTCTGAAAACTCATTCTTTCTTGACAGCAGCTGGTCTAAACATCAGGCTTGAATTACACCCTTCTGTTGAAATGGCTCGGAGGGGCTGCTAAATTTGCCAATAGCTGTTTTCTGCTTTCCTTTTTACAGCAACAACTTTCTCAATTTTGGGGGCTTTCTTTTTTTAATTCTTCAGTGTAAAAAGGGCTATTGATCTCCTCACCCCTATGATCTTTTATCCTGTGCACAGTTCTCTGCTCTACTTTACCAGTTACTGGTAAACAGCTGATCATAGAAGAGTTTTCAAAGACTCCTTTGGTTGCGCACACTCTTCCATGATCTCCTTCGCTAAGTGTACGGTCCTGTTCTAAACGCTCTCCAACACCAGCCTTCCAGATCCTCAGTGAGTTGGAGGAGTTCATTGCCTTGGGGCTGGTATATGTGTAATTCTTTGAAAGGCATGGCTAGAGCTCTGTAAGTGTGGTAACTACATCTACAGAGCAATATTGTGGGCTGTAAAATATCATCCCATCTTAGAGTTTAAAATCCCACTGAAGAGCCTCAGTCATAGAATGCTGTTCAGTTGTACAATGTTGTTTTAGCAAAAAAAGCCGCTAGATGGGATAAAGACTTGTTTAAAAACTCTTCATTCTGACTGGGCATGCCTTTTGGGCATCTTCCCTTCGGCAAAAAGAGTTTAAAAGGTCTGGGAAACTTTGCGCCCTGTTCCATCTTCTAGACCAAAGCCTGGGCACATTTAAATGCAGTATTTGTCACTTAATTTATTAATATGTACTTAAAACTATGGCTATAGGTAGAGAACAGTTGCGTATCCAGTAAGTCACTAATATTGTACACCTTCTCGTAAGCAAGCCCCTCATTTGCTTTTCAAATGCATTTATGCAGGTGTAGAAAGCATAGTGGCACAGCTTTCAGGCCAGGACAACTTGTCTCCTTGAGGCTTTACTCCATTCTTTGGAGTGCCATTGCTGAGGGGGGATTCCTTGGGGCTGACTGAAAGCAAAACCACCCTGGTCTCCCGGGAGTGGTGTGGGAAGCAACGTCTGTCCCGCATGTCTTGGGCCTGCCACAAGCACGCGTCCTGGCTCCTGGCAGCTCCGAAGGCTCCGAGGGCAGGGAATGGAGTCACAGGCCCCCGTTTGGGGCCCCGAGATGCAGGACCTGAGACCTGCTGAGTGCGAGGCAGCTGCCCAGCTGGAGGGGCTGCCTTTCTGGACGGCAGCTCTCCCCTCATAGTACTGGTGACGTTCAGCATTTATTTCCCTCTGTATAACTCTGTGCATAACAGCCATTCTCAGATGGTGAGAGCCTCATACGAAAAAATCATCATTTCAAATGAAAGATTTTAAGTTCTCCCTGCCAGAACAAGAGAACTTTCAGTTATTTTCAATAATCCAAATCCATTTCCTTTTGTGATTTTTACGTTGCTATATTTGCATGGTTTCAAAGCAACACCTCCTGGAAAGCCGTGGTATTGCTATGCAAGCAGAGGCATCTTCCTGTTGGATTTATGTAGGACAAAAAAGCAAGAGAGCCAAGTGATCTTAGCATGCAAAATGTGATCGACACCGTCATTACAACTTCCACTAGGGGAAGAAATAAAATTGGGGAGCATGTTTCAGAACTGTTTTTATATGAGCAAATATGAGCACTTAACTGCTGTCACACAGGCATGATCGCCTTTTTTGTTTGTTTGCTTATACTACGCTTGCCAGTTTACACTGGACAACATCACAAATTACGTTATTGTAGTATTTCACTGCAAGTGCATCAGCATGAAACTGTACAACCGATAATTGGAGGTATATAGGAATCAGGCTTGAAGAAAGCCAGGCAATTCAGGCAGAAACGTGACTTATATGTTCATACACTTACTGTGAATAAAAGCAACATGAGTAACGTAGAGGGCCGTTTCTAGAAGGAGACAGTAAAATTGCCAATAACGATGCTACAAAGATATATGTAACCAGTCAATCTTTCTGCTCACCATTCCGGACTGCTGGGGGGTTTGCCGATGTACCACTAACGACACTCTTCTCAGTCCAGTAGTAAAGTACGACACTGAAAGCATCTACCAAAGTTGGACATCTTCATATCCGGTCTGGCCATGTGAGCTGCGTCCTAATATTTTGAACTAACGGGCTGGAAATTTGTCCGACTGTTGGGGCTAGCATGATGAAGTCTTTGAGAAGGGGAAATTTCAGAAGAGCCAACGGTAAGGTGGAGTGAGCCAGTTATGGGACGGTGATTCCTGCAACCCTCTCCCCGGTCCCTCGCGTGAATTGGGATGACGGGGTGTTTTGAGTGACACGGAGGGCAGGGAACGCTGGGGCTCGTAGGGAGGCCAGGTGGGGATTTACGGCTACGTACGCCACAGGCAGCCTTGCCCTGGACCACGCCAGATGAAGAGCCAACTGGGCGAACTGTTTTCCGCCGAAAAGGCGCCACACTAGGGACGAGGCCGGCGCGCACAGCGCCAGCCCTG